AGGAATCTGATTAGTTCACTTTTCATGAGGTGTCTGACCTTGTTTCAACCGACTAAGACCAAATGTGGCTCAGGGAATCTACCTCCAATGTTGGGGAGAGTAGACTCTACCTCCAAAGAGGCTGGATGTGCCCAGCCAGGCAGATACTTCAAGAGATGCGTGTCGTAGAAATAAACGCACACACTCTCCCAAGGATGAGTAGATAGAGGCTCTTAAGAACAGTGCTAGGGCCAGGGATTTAGTTCAGTGGCACCATGCCCGCCTCGCAAGCCCAAGGTCTTGAGTTTGAACCCCACTGCCAGGGGAAAAGAAAAGAACAACTTTGTTATCAAGGAAAGGGCCTTGGTCCTATGGTGTTCTGGCCAGAGTTGAAGGATGGGACCCAGAAGGCCTTGTTACCAACTCCCATGAACCAACACAGTGGAAACAGCCTAGAAGAACAATGACGTACAAGAAGATCCAGTTCTGATGTCTCAGACACAAGATTCTGATCTATCCTCAGATAGAAGTAGGAACTCATGAGGATGGTAAACCTCATCCAGCTTCACCTGATCCACTAAACAACACACACAAGCTCTCCATTCTGACCTCACGTCCCAGAGCCTCTTAGGTCTCTCCCACCACGGAAGTGAGTTTGGGAGAGATGCCGCAACACAGCAGCCATCCTGTGTGCTGTTTGTTTGTACAGGAGATCGAACTTGGGACCTTGCGTTTGCAAAGCAGGAAGTGGGACCACTGAGCTAAATTGCCGGCCCAAACCTGTGTATTTTTGCCACTACAGAAGACCGAGCAATTTCCCTGCCCCGGCTGTTGTCATCCTTTCTCACTGTTGGGGAGCTCTGGCTAACAGTTTCATCTTCTCTCCCTAGATTTTGCAAAATCCAAATATTAAAAGTACAGTAACCATGTACCGGTGCCACGCCACAATCATCAGACGTACACAGGAAAAGCAGCACGTGTCTCCAGGAGCACCGGTCTGCATGCTCATGACGGGCCGGGCCTGCAGACAGTGACAAGCCTGGGACCCAGCGCTGTCTCTCTGTCCACGGCCACGGCAGAGGCCCAGGCGTGCTGACCAGCATGCCCTCTTACGGAATTCTTCCTTTTATCAGTAAGTAATGCCTGCTTTGACCCTACGAATGCTTTTGCTCTCAGTCTCATCAGAATGGGAAGGAGACCAAGAGATGCAAGCGAGGGAGGGGAAGGGAATGTAAAAAATGAGAAGTGTCATGCGCAGGTACCAACTCGCTACGACGAATGTGATCACTAGGTACTGCAGACGGGTACGCAGAAAAATAAAACTTTCAAGCATTTCAGCTGATATCAATATTGCTAGTGCAATTTCCTTTTGGCTAATATTTGCCCAGCATATCTTGTTCTATATCTGCATTTTCCTCCTTTCTGTGACTTCATGCTTTATGCAAGTCTTTTGTGAACAGCCTAGACCTGGATTTTTAAACAAATCCAATTTGAAGGGCTCCTTGACTGGGCCACTCCTCACATGCACAAGTATGACAGATGCCCTTCTGTGTTCCATTGACCATGCTTTGTTTTGCTTCCTCTCTTTCCTCTCTTTGCTTTTTCCTTGTTCATGTTTTCTACAGCACCAATAATCTTTTATTTTTTAAAAAACCTTCTAGTCGACTGATGTGGAAAACACCAGTAGTTTCCTTAGTGAGGACTAAGGCCAGCCTATGGTTTAATTCTCTGTAACAGATAAAGGGTCCTAGAATGTGAATGGAGCCTTTTATCTTCTGTGTTATTTGATTAGTATTTTAATTATATCATACTTTTATGCTCTTTCAAAAGAATCATGATCGCCATTATTATTATTAAAATTTATGTACATATTTACCAGTTTCTTTGCTTGATATTATTTCTATTAATGGAGTTTTTCCTTTTGGGCTCAATTTCCTTCTTTCTGAAATACGTGTGTTAGAAATTCTTTTAACAAAGATCTATAAATAGTAAACTCTCTGTGACTTTATTTCACTTTTCCTATTTTATCTGCCCAGTACTGCGGACTGAACCTGGGGCTTCGTGCACGCTAGGCAAGCACTCTAACACTGAACTGTATCCCCATCCCCTTTTCATTTCCTGGGAGACGAGATCTGGTTAAGTTGCCCAGCCTGGCCTTAAACTCATAGTCACCCTGCCTCAGCATCCCAGGCAGCCAGGGTTATGCGTGTTACCTGCCACCACGCTTCGCATTTGCATTTTCTATTCATTGATAATTATTTTGGTTTAAGACTTTAAGTTCTTTTTTGATTTTTTATTAGTATGTTTGTAGTACATAATGATCACTTTTTTCGTGAGGCATTAGTACATGTACATAACAAACAGATTTTAATTTTTTCATTCCCTTCTCCTCCCCTTTTCCCCGCTCCCTCCATCTCTTGAATCCCTTCCCATTTGAAAAAGATCTATCTCCCCACTTCCTATCATCTATTGTTTACTATACTTTTTTTTGTTGTTGTTGTTTTTGTTTTTTTTGAGGCAGGGTCTCACTGTGTAGTTGAGACTGACCTGGAACTCACTATGCAGCCCAGGCTGGTCTTGAACTCAGTGATCCTCCTGCCTCAGCCTCCTGAGTGCTGGGATTACAGGTGTGAGCCACCACGCCCGGCTCTATACTCTATACTCTTTATTTATATTTTGAGTTTCTCATGGAAGAGAAACCATGTGATATTTAAACTTGTGTGTCTGATTTATTTCACTCAACATGACAATCTCAAAGAGCATCCATTTTCCTACAAAAGACTCGTTTATCATTTACAGCAGAGTAGTGCTCCATTGTGTATCAATACCATGTTTTCTTTACCCTTGCACCTGTTGGTGGACATAGAGGGCACTTCCAGGATTTAGCTATAAACACGAGTGTGCACTGTAATATGATGTCTTTAACTCTTTCAGGAAGATCCCTAGAAAAGAATAGCTAAGTCAAATAGAATTTCTAGTTTTAGTTTTCTGAGGCATCTCCGTACTATTTCCATGCTAGCTGACACCTCCACCAATAATGTAGAAGAATTCCTTTCCCCACTGCAGCTCCACCAGCATTTGTTGTTATTTGATTTCTTGGTGATGACCGTCCTTCCTTCTGGAGTAAATGGAATCTCACTGTTGTTTTATTTAGCGTTTCTCCAGTGGCCAGAGATGTTGAATTTTTTTGTGTGTATTTATTGGCTGTTTGTACTTCTTCTTTTGAGAAGAGTCTATTCATTTCAGTTGCCCATTTTTTGATTGTGTCTTTTATGGGGGGGCTAACTTTTCTGAGTTCTTTATATATTCTAGATATTAGTCCTCTGTCTGAGGAATAGCTGACAGTTTTTTCCCAAACTGTAGGTTGTTTACTCTGGTGGTTGTTTCCTTTGCTGTACAGAAGCTTTTTAATTCAATATGATCCTATGTGTTGATTCTTGGTATTACTTCTTGTGCCACTGGGCTTTGTTCAGAGAGTTCTTGCTACACCTACATCTTCAAATGTTGCACCTCTTTTGGGCTGGGGATTTAGCTCGGTGGTTCTGCTGCCTGCCTCACAAGCGCAAGGTCCCAAGTTTGATCCCTGGTACCAAAAAAAGAAAGAAAGAAAAAAAAAAAAAGCTTGCACCTTTTTTATCTGCCAGCTGATCAAGTATTTCTTTTTTTAAAAAAAAAAGTAGTTCTGTTTTAACATTTAGATCTTTGATCCATTTTGATTTTAGCTTAGTACATGGTGAGAGATGTGGGTCTAGATTCAATCTCCTGTACGTGTGTAGCCAGTTTCCCCCACACCATTTATTAAAGAAAATGTCTTCCCTCCAGTGTATATTTTTGGCTCCTTTGTCAAAGGTCCAGTAGCTTCATGTGCCTGGGGTTGTTTCTACATCCTCTACTCTGTTCCATTGATCCTCATGTCTGTTTCTGTGCCAGTACTGTGCTGTTTTTATGACTGTAGCTTTGTAATATAAATTCAATTTTGGGATTGCAACGCCTCCTCCCTTGCTCTTGTTACTCAGGGATTGCTTTTGCTATTCTGGGTCTTTTCTGGTTCTGTATAAATTTTGGGATTGTTTTCTCTAATTCTGTGAAAAATTCACTTAATATTTTCCTTAGGATTGTGTTAAATCTGTATATCCAGACTTTAAATTCTTAAACAATTATTTTCCGTCAGCATTTTGAGGGCATACTTACTTATCTCGTGGTTTCTGTAGCTCCTAACAAGAAGCTCTGCCTGTCTGATTGTCATTCTGCTGTAGCCTTGAAGTCTTTTGTCTTTGATGTTCTGCAGTCTCCCCACAGTGTGTCTAAGTCTAAGCCTATTTTCATTTATTCCTCTCAGATATCCAATTGCATTCTTACTGAGAACTCATTTCTGCATTCAATACTGAAAAATTCTTCCCAACCCTGTCTTCACATACTTCTTCTGTTTTTTTTTTTCTGCAATTTCTAGTATCTCTACTGGGCCCTCTTATTTTATTCTTAGTGTCCCTTGACTTTCCTTCATATTGCCCATGACTTTAACTCTGTGCGTTGTGTTTTGGGTATTTTCTAAACTTTCTCTTCAGTAGTATTGTCAACTATTTAACCCTTCCACTGAATTATTTTATTTAAACATTTCTTTTCCTAGAAATTCTATTTGGTTCTTTCTAAGCTCTGTGTTTTCTCTTCCATTTTATCTTATTCTTTCCTTTCCTCTTTTTGTTTGTTGAGGCAAGGTCTCACTATGTAGTTCAGGCTGGCCTTAAACTTACTATGTAGACCAGGCTGGCCTCAAACTCACGGGGATGCTCCTGTCTCAGCCTCCCGAGTGCTGGGATTATGGGCATGCACCACCATGCCCGGCTCTTTCCTTTATTTTTTGGAGAACACTTCAAATACACCTATTTTGATTCCATAATCCTGCTCCTGGGTATATATTCAAAGCAAATACAATCAGTAATACAAAGATATATCTGCAGTCCCAAGTGTCTTGCAGCAGTATTCACAATAGCAAAAATGTAGTGTAAACCTGAGATATGGAGTAATCCAGCAACAGACATTTGGATAAAGAAAAGTTGATGTACACAGCTAAATATTGTTTGGCTATGGAAGAGAAGGAAATCCTGTCCCTAGCAACAATACGGAAGAACCTGGAGGACGTGGTGAAGGGAGCTAAGCCAGACACAGAAGACAGCCCCTCATGGCCTCACCCACATGTGGAATCTGAAGCCGTGGACCCACACGGCAGTGGAGAGTAGGACAGTAGGGGTCAGAGCCTAGGACGGTGGCAGAGGAGGAACGGGGAGGAGTTAGCCAGCAGGTATGAAGCTCAGATTATGAACCCCAGGAAGGGCAGTGTTTGTTATTTAGATTTTCATCCCAATTAAGTGCCTAGTCCAGTTCTGTACCAACTGGGTTCTTAGTAAGTGCTAGAGCTATTCTTCATGTTGTTACTGTTTCGACTATCTCCAACTTCAATGTTTAGAGATGACAGAAAATCAGATTCTGGATCTGCTAAAAGCATTTAAAGTACATAATCAGGCCGTTCAGCTTTGGGCATCACTCATCTGAATTTCATCATTCATGAACAACATCTTCAAGGACAAGTCATCATCTATTAGACCAATGTTTCTAAAAGTACAAGTTGCAATCCATTAGCAGGTCATGACATCAATTTAATGAAATAGAACAAAATAGAGAATAAAATAGCAGAATGCAGTACATGCTTAAGTGTAGGTACTGCTTAATACAACTTTAATTTCAGGTGTGTGTGTGTGTGTGTGTGTGTGTGCATGCGTGCGCGCGTGCTGGGTCACCATACAATGTGTATTTCTGGCTGCGGGTCAGGGTAAGAATGTTTGAGAATCGTTGATTGAACAGCAGCTCTCTTATCTCTGAGACCCCATTCCATCTGCCACCCATCTCTCGCAGGCCCATCTTTAGGGTCAAACATTCCATGCCAAGCCAGGAAAACTCAAGGTTCGCCTTTTCCACACGGAGTTCCTAGAGCACTGTCGAGCCCAGGGCAGACGGAGAGTCCTGCACACTGCCCTGGGTGGGAGCCTCACAGTCCGCCAGGGACCTCAGGGAGCCCTCAGGGCGTCACGATCCACAGAGGCTCCCTGTGCTCTGGGCTCCTGCCCTGCACTCCGAGACGCCTTCCTCATCTCCCTGGACGAGTCCTGGCTGACGTGTGGTCTCCGGGTCCCTTCGGTGCTGCTTCCCCAGGGCCTTGCCGCCAGGCAGCTCCTCACGTGTGGCTCTCAAGGCCACCACGTACCGTCCACCTGGGAGGACACCTGGAGCCTCCCTCGCACCGAGTTCCCGGGGAAATGGCCATCTGTAGAACTCCGTGCTGCAGTCTAGAAGGAAGGGGAGTCAGCGGAAAAGACTTCGTTCTAAGCATGAGCGCTGTCACTGAGAAGAACCGAGCACTTGTCCTCTATGCCATCTTGAACGTCTGCAAATTGCAGAGGGACGCAACCCATTTCATAAACAATGAACCCTAGTATGAAGGGATTTGAGCCTCATTTAACTTCCACTTTCATTGTCTCCTAAGCTCCAAAGTAAAAGCAAGCCTGCACTGGGGGCTGTGGCGCATGCCTCTAATCCCAGCTATGTGAAAGGCCGAGGAGGAGGATCGTAAGTTCGAGCCTGCCTGGACAACTTAGCAAAAATCAAAGGGGGCTGGGGGGCGTAGCTTCCTAACACTGAAGGAAAAAAGCAAGCAACCTATTATCTCTCTTTAAAGATCGAAATATATGGCATTTGTTGAGCTCCAGCTATGTGTCAGATGCTTTCACATACATTATTTCATTCAAACATCACAGAAACCCTAGGAGGTGAGTGCGGTTGTTCCACTCTCCACACGGGGAGGGAGAAGGTCGAAGAAGTTAAATAATGTGCCTGACTCGCCTCGCTGGTAAGTAATTGCCAAGCTGGGCTTCGAATCTGCTTTGGCAGACTGTTGGCCCAGGCAGTTAGCCACTACCCTGCGCAGCCCTTCAGTAAGGGGCTCCCGTCAGCAAGGAAACAGACCCTGGCCCAGCTCATGCAGCGCTGCGCTTTCTCTGTGTGACTGGCCCGAGAAGTGCCACGGTCGTGATGTGGCAGGCTCACTGCGTGCGGGGCGAGCCGCGTGCCTCTCTGAGCCTCAGAGTGCCCGTCTGGACAAAGACTGACCTATCTCCCTCGGAGGACTGCTGTGAAAGAGACGCAGCTGAAGGTGACGAAGGGTTTTGCACACCACGAAGTACTGTGCCAATGAAATGGCTTATTATAAAAAGCCATATAGTTAATTAGCCCACTGCTCCTGCATTGTCCCTGCTAGGTTGCGGGGGGTCCCTTCTTTGGCTCCCAGTGCTCTTAGGATAAAATTCAAAATGTCAGCTTGACCTGTGAGGCCAGCACGACATAGCTCTTCTTCCGTGCCCTTTCCTCACTGTAGTCCTACTTTACTGGGCCTCTGTTCCTGCCTCTGGGCCTTTGCATATGCTTTTCCTCTGAGTTCAATTCCCCAGTACTGCAAAAAAAAAAAAAAGAAAGAAAGAAAAGAAAATGTTTCTGTAGTTAGTCAAATAATTTGGGGAACAGGAGGTTAAACAAATGTAACAGATTTTAGCCATCGAAATTAACACGAAAACCCAAAGGACTTTCAAAAGTAATGCCTAGGTCCACGAGAGATGACAATGCAAACTAGCCCAGCCTTGATGTGCGCACTGTGAGAATAAACCCGCCTTGACTTCGTGGCCCCCTAACCTAGTCTGTCCTCGAGTGTGCTCATCCACGTGGAAGCCAGAGCAGGAAGAACGAACCCACAGGGAGAGCGGAGTGTGGGGCGAGGGGCGGCTCACTCCGGGGCTGGGGGCGAGCGGCACTCTGCTCTGCATGGTCAGAGGACAGCAGTGGGACGTGAGGAGTTGCTTAGACTTTCGAGTGTTTATTGATCAACACATTACATAAACAACATTTACTGAGCACCTACGACACAGCAAACACATCAGTGCACATGGCCTTGGTGTTGGGGCTCAGAGTCCAGAGCAGGAGATCTACAGGTAAGGAGTTCGTGTCAGAACTAAAGAGACACCAGACACAGATACGGAGTTGGAGAGTTTCCTAGGAGGGACACTGAGCTGTGATCCAGAGGATAAATAAAAACAGCCAGAGAAGAAAGATAAGGAAAAGAATGCTGGGCAGAGAACACCGTGCAGGAAATGGGGAATCTGCTCGGGCCCTGGGCGGAGTCCAGCAGCAGACCGTGGTGTTCAGGAGCTGGGCCTCACCTCCAAGGAGTGGGGCAGAGGACAGTTTGCCGCAATCTCAGTCTGGACCGAGGACGTCAAGCCCCCCAGAGACCCCGCTCCAGCCTTGCTGAGCAGGAGCAGATGCGCATCAGGGAGCAGGGCTTCATAGGGTTCACGGGGAGCCCCAAACCAGCACAGCCTCTTCTATGGCTGAGAGTCACCAGGAGCAAGAAAGAGAGGCCAAGACAGACAGGGAGCTGGGAGCAGCAGCACATCCGCCAGTGAAGAGCCAGGCCCTTACGGCAGCTCTGAGGTGCAGGGTATGCCGCTGCCGCAGGGAAGAGAATGTGGGAGGTCTGGGATCGAGGCTCCCCTGGCCCGGCCGGGTGCCAGTCTGAACCCACCGTGCTTGATCCACTCAAGGTCGAGGTGGAAATGGGAATTTCGGCCAAAGCTCCCTCACCGGTCTGTGGTTCTGCTGTTACTATGTTGGTGTTATTTCTTTGGGGGGTGATTGAGATACGTTTAGAAGCAGTTAGCATGGTGCCTGGCACCAAGAAAACACTCAGGAAGTTTTAGTCATTATTACTGACATTAAGGTAGAAGTTTTAAAACAACCTGCCTTTACCTGGCTCACCGGCTTAAGTGACATTGTGAATCTTTCGTAAAACCCACTGGTTTCCACTCATGGCTCATCGAATGCTCACGGCTACGACACCAGGAGGTTCTGCTCCCCACGTGGTTGAACTGCGCGCTTACCAAGAGTCATTTGTTTTTACTCAGCCTGTTCATGCCAGCTGCACGTATTATTCTTATATAATTTAACTAAATGTTACACAAACCAGCAAAATACGATGGGAAAACTAATGTTGCTATTTGGAAAGCTTCCCTAACAGTACATTGCTTAACAATTTTGTTATCAAATCACGTATTAGTGAGACAACTGGAAAAAGGGGGAAAATCATACAGAAATGAGACACTGCAGTCAGATTTTTTTCTTAAATGTTTGATTTCTCAATCTGTATTAAAGAAAGCAAAGCTGAAATGACAGTTGAGGCATTCTGTGTAAGCGAAGGCCAGAGGATGGTGAAACGCCAGTCTACATCAGAAGAGAGAGAGAGAGAGAGAGAAAGGAAGGAATGCTGAAATGACAGTTGAGGCATTCTGTGTAAGCGAAGGCCAGAGGATGGTGAAACGCCAGTCTACATCAGAAGAGAGAGAGAGAGAGAGAGAGGAAGGAAGGAAGGAGCAAAAAGAAAGAAAGGGTTTAAAGAGGGACGGAGACAAGTGAGTCACGAGTCAGGTGCACTATTCCGTCGGTGGGGCACACGCGCCGGTGCCCACCTTGGGTTACTGGGTGAGGAGTCCCAGAGCCTGTGCACCCGGAGCCCATACGGCCTATCCTCCCTCACGACCACCTCTCAGGGCCCTCCACTTCCCTCTCCCGTAGAGACCCGAGACTTAGCTTGAGGTCCCTCGTCTGATTTTTGCTTTGCTTATGGGAACCCACTTGCTCCAGCACCACTTATCGAAAATGCCGTTTTTCTTCTGTTAAACCGGTTTGGTATTTTTGTCAAAAATCAGCTGGTGTGGGCCAGGGATTTAGCTCAGTGATTCTGCGGCCTGCCTTGAAAGCACAAGGACCCGAGTTCCATCGCTGGTACCAAAAAAAAAAAAAAAATTTCAGGTGGGGTGGCTCAGTGGCACCACGCCTGCCTGGCAAGAGCAAGGTCCTGAGTTTGATCCCCGGTACCAGAAAAAAAAAAAAATCAGTTGATATACTTGTGTGGATCTATTTATGGATTTTATATTCTGTTCCATTAACCTATGTGTCTATTCCTCTACCAATATCAGTCTTGGTTACTATAGCCATACAAACCTGGAAATTGTGCATATCTATTCCTCCCACATTATTCTTCCTTGTAAAATCATTCTTTTTACTTGTTCTCACTCTCTCACCTTTACATTTTAGAATAATCTCATTTATATTCATAAAAATTAGGCTGAGACTTTTCACAGGAGTTTTGTTAAACCTGTACATTAACTTCATACTAACTCTTCCAGTTTGTGAGCATGATATGCCATCCTTTTATTCATTAGATTTTCACTTATTCATCTACTTATTTTTTGGATGGGGGAATGGCCTTGAACTTGCATCCTCCTGTTTACTCTCCTGAGGAGCTAGAAGTCAGGTGCATACCACCATGCCTGGCTTCTTTGGTTTCTTTCTTCGGTATTTTGTAGTTTTCAGCCTACAAGCCCTGCACACGTCTATTTGATTTACACTTGAACATTGAGTAATTGTAATACTTTATTTTAAATTTGGGTCCATGCGCTCATTACTAATATATAGAAATATAACTCATACTTCTGTATATTTATTTTGTATCCTTTAACCTTGAACTTACTTATTAGTTCTAGGTTTTTAAAGATAATTTGGGATTCTTTTACATAGAAAATATTTTTTTTTAATCTGTGTGCTTTTTGTTCCCTTTTCTTGCCTTACGACTATAGCTAAAACTTCTAGTTGAATTCTGTCAAACACTTTTTCTGCATCAATATGATCAAATGATTCTTCCTTAGTTGGTTAATAGCTGATTTTTGAATATTTTACCAGCCTTTCATCCCTAAACTCTTTTATCACACTTTAATTCTTTTTATATATTGCTGTGTCTGCTGGTGTTTTGTTGAGGATTTTTCATCTATATTCGTAAGAGGTATTTGTCTTAGTTTTTGTTTTACTTTGTCATACTGTCTTTGGTGGTACCTGGGTAATATCAGTTCATGCAATAATGGAGAAGCTTTCTTGTCTCTTGTTCTCCTGAAGAGATAATGTAGCACTGCTGTTCATTTTTCTTTTAACATTTGGTAGGATTCTCTAGTAAAGCCACGTGATCCTGGAGATCTCCCTTCTGGAGTTTGTTAAATTGTGACTCCAGTTTTCTTAACTCCAGTTTCACTTCATTTGAATTGTCAAATTCACATGTGAAGTTTTAAAAATAATATACTTTTACCCATTCGATGCCTGTAGGGTCTGTAATGATTCCAGTTCCATTCCTGATATTAGTAATTATTTCTTCTCTTTTTTGTCAGTCAAGGACTGTCAATTTTACTGATCT